ACGTTTTTTATTTTTTTACAGAAACGAATGCTTTCGACGATATATATTTACTTGAAATGTCGCGTGACGTCACTTCTATGCAGGTACATTTTATACGTAGAAATGATGTTTTAGCCCCCACTCCTAAACTTTGATTCGTTTTGTCTATATTATTATTATTTTATTACTAGCTTTTACCCGCGGCTTCGCTCGCGTCACAAAAGAAAAAAAGTAGCCTATGTGACATATACCATTACACACAGCCTACCCTATTATTTAATCCAGACTTCTAACTTTACGTCTGCAAAAATTCTAATCAATCGTTTGAGTAGTTACGGCGTGAAAGTGGAACAAACAAACAAACTCACTTTCAGATTTATAATTATAAAGTAAGGATACAACAAAATAAAAAAAATCGTGTCTAATATTTTTTCATTACCTAACTGACGGACTAAATAGATTTTTAATTTCCTTACACCGTCATCATCCCAATTAAGTACCTTCCTAAATCTATTTTTAGTACTAGAAAACTAGTTTAAACGAGTTACAACTTAAAGTCTATAAAGTCAAGGTTGACATCAAAAAAAATACCGGTTCATCGTACTATTGAATTATTTAAACTACATATTTAATTATACATTCAAATTAATTGCAGACATTCTAATCTACAGTTGGTACCTATTTTTTTCAAAAGCTATGTAGATTTTACTTTCGTTTTTGTTTCGAAGCACGTGTACAACTATTAACACTGGAATCTGCATATTAGATTATATAGTTTGAGAGTCTTATACATATACCTACTAATATCGTGGTGGCCCGGAGGTTAAGACGCCCTTCTCATGCATGAGGGTGCAGGTTCGACCTATCAATGGCAAGTACCAATGTGACCAACGGCAACACCGCTAGGGTTGCCAACTGTACTCTAAAATAGAGTATTGTCCTCTATATCGTGTAGGCGTACTCTATAATCTGTAACACTAATAGAGTACGCTAAACTGAAATACTATTTTTTACACAATGTTTACTTAATTAGTGCCAGTTTGTAATAATATGCGAAAACCTATGATCAGAATAAAAAAATCGACTAGTTATTTAATGTTACCTAATACAGGGTGGTCTGCTTACAGTGGTCCAAAGTCTTTTTCAGCTTGAGAGCATCATCATTTGTTATGTGCTGCAAAAAGTACGAAAAAATACAATTTAGAAGCACAAAATAAATGATAATCTTTCTAGTAAGTCTGTACTCTTTACTTACCTCCTTTAAAATGAAATATACCTACTCTATTTCTTCTAAAAAAAAGTTGGTTACCCTAAACACCGCTGAGGCGCTGACAAACGGTGAAGGAAAACATCGAACGACACGAAACCTGGACTAATAATTATAACTTAATTTGATCATAATTTCTAATTATAAGTTTGCAATCGCCAACCCGCAATGAGCAAGCGTGGTGATTAATGTTCAAACCTTCGTAACATTATTATTTTTTTATAGCGTTACTAGTCACTAGGAATTTTACTCCTGTGTCGTGTGTACGTTTACAAACATACAAGTTCACACACACTTCACACTCAGACCCAAAACAACAATCTGTGGATCACACAAAGAGTTGTTCCGTGCGGGAATCAAAACCGCGACACGTTGCGCGGCAGCCACTACGCTAACCGTGCAGTCAAATTATTTTTTATTTATTGTCAAGATTGTATATCGGTGTAACTACACATTTTGTATAAGATTAAGTAAGATCCATTAATAGATAGCTAATTCCAGGCATGCCATATGTCGAAGGATCGTAAAGAACTCACATTTTCGAGGCCAAGAGGTCTATATATAATGTCCAAGTACCATAAACGTAATGACTAATATCTTATGACTTGGCATATTGACATCACGGACGTATAAAATAAAATTTATCAATGAAAAGATGACATAATGTTGAATTTTAACAACTGCCTTATAAGTATGACAAAGCGTATCAAAGCTTAGTAAAACGCACATGACATAGCTTAAAATAATATGTCATCACGCTTGTTATTAGGTAGGTATTCAGATGGCTTCAGCAGAGGTGTTAACTTGACTAACCATATTTATTTATCGTTAAATATATCAGTGTAAAATTATAAACTACTAGCTACTTCCGCGCGGTTTCACATGCTCTGCTCAGCTCCTATTGGTCGTAGCGTGATGTTAGCCTATAGCCATCCTCGATAAATGCGCTATCCAACACAAAAATAATTATTCAAATCAGACTTGTAGTTACGGAGATTAGCGCGTTCAAACTTCCGTTTTATATAATAGTATAAATGTCTAAAAAAATAAATTCAACCCATTGAGTTACACAGAAAGAAAAAGTATTTATTCGAGAGTAGACATGCATGTAGTCGTGGCTCGGAGGTTTAAGACGCCTGCTCCTCATGCATGAGAGGGTTCGTATATAATAAAAAAAAAGAAATCGTTTGTTTGCATGAAAATTGGTATAGATTCCGCAATGAACTGGAGTGAATTGAAAAAAAAAACTTCAAATAGTTAGCATATTCCCGCACATTTGTAACAGAAATTTTCTAAATTCCACGTAAACAAAACTCCGAACTGTCGAAAGTTTGTCATAAAATAAAAGAATTTGCTGCATTCATTGCATTACTGCATTTTTATTCCGCATGGCCTGTCAAAAGGTCATTCGACCCAGATTTGGCGGGAACACGTTTCTCCTTTTTTTTAAAGTAGTTCAAGCACAGATAAAAATCAACATTCCGTCACGCTGCGTAGGTACAAAAAAGGTTTTATTTATTTAATGAACCTGTTACTAAGTTGTTGTACCTACCTTGTGTGATGACTCAGAGAGGCGAGTAGACGAAAAATGTTGTAATGGACGATGGTTAAAATTGTTATTTCTCTTAACATTATGAATTTTGTAGGCTGAACGCTACGCGCCGTACGCTCGGGATCCCCCGAGCGTACGGCGCGTAGCGTTCCGCGCGCGCCTCAATGAGCCATCAGACCACCACAGATGGGGCCCAATAGGGCCGATGCCGATTCGGAGTCGCGGAGAACCTAACGGGTAACCGGGGCTCCGGCTCGACGTGCAGGAGAAGGAACGGGGTGGTTTTTAGTCAGTAAGAGTCTGACACTCTCTTCCGCCTCACCCAGGCGGGAGCAGTCATTCGATGACTTTCCCCCCTCAAAAAAAAAAAGGCTGAAGGGATATTTTTATAACAAAAAATCGCAGGTTACTCAGAACCGTGCCCGATCGTGGCGATGTCGCGCAGATTACTTCAGCCATTTTGACGCCGAGTAATAAACAATAAACATTCACACACACTTTAGCATTTTTAATATTAGTTGTAGTATTCTGATTAACCCTTCAGAGATGGACAAGATGCGATGTTATTAACACATACCACAAGCACACATATACACGCACCGTAATAAACTGACTCACATACCTGACCTGAAAACTGAATAAATCCTGTAGTGAATAGTTTTCATAATAAACAAAACATTCATTAGTTCCATACCACACACTAACTGCTGAAACATAAACATTTCAATCGATGAGTAGGTACACACGGCCACACATCAATATATACAAAACCAGTTTATCCTGGTGTCGCGTCGCATCATCTTTCCGCACATTCAACGTTCAGTTTATACTGGTTATGTAAAGCTTGATGTGTAGCCGTATGTATGTACATATGTCTGAAACTGAGATTGGGTACGTTCGTCTATAAATAATCTTAATAGGTATAGTTTTACACCGATTTTGCTGTAGAGTTTTTCTTTTTTTTGCCCCCACACTAGGATTTTCTCCTGGGTCGTGGGGGCGTTAACAGACATACAAATTATGAAGTAAACACGTGACATTCAGATCCGGAACAACAATTTGTAGATCACACAAAAGAATCGAACCCGCGACACGTTGCGGAGCAGCCAGTTGCTCAGCCACCGCACTAACTGTGCAGTCGCCGTTCAGTAATACAAAGAAGAAAGAAAGAGAAAAAACATTTATTCGACAGTAGGCACGCACACAGATACAAAAAAAAAAAAAACAAAATTAAAAAAGAAAAGAACAAATAAATACACTTATTTATATAGATAATATAGAATAAAATACACAAAGAAATGACAGAGTATATACAATAATATAATAGTTCTTTGCGATATTAATTCTGTACTTAGGGATAGGTTAACCGAGCCGCGGAGGACTTAACGGGTTGCTGCGGCTCCGGCTCGACGTGCACGAGAAGGAACGGGGTGGTTTTTAGTCAGTAAGAGTCAGATACTCGCTCTCACCTCACCCAGGCGGGAGAAGCTATTGGATGATTTTCCCTCCTCAAAAAAAGGCATAGGTTAACTATGGGAAAGTAACGCTGATATAGCACTGCTGTATCAGCTTGACTGGAGAATACCATTGCCTCACAGAAAACTAGCGTCACACTAACAAAGCGTTGTGTAACACCACGTATGTGAGAACATTGTAGTTGCAACTCACCCATTAATAAATCCGACCCAGCCCATCTTGCTGGTCCTCAGTGGCCAATGGAGAGGGGGCTTTCTAATGGTCTGAAACGGAATGCCCTCAGTGATGCGGTCATTTCGTATGTAGAAAATCTTGTTGCTTTTTTATAGCATAAGCCGGTAAACGAGCAGACGGATCACCTGATGGTGAGCAATCGGCGTCGCCCATGGACACTCGAAACACCAAGGCGTTACAAGTGCGTTACCGGCCTTTTGGGAATTTGGAATTTGAGGATTGTGGAGGATTCGGGGAGACGGGGACTAGGGAGGTGGGTAATTGGACCTTCCGTAACCTACTCACACGACGAAACACAACGCAAGCGTTGTTTCACGTCGGTTTTCTGTGAGGCCGTGGTATCGGCCCATTCGTGTCGAAGCATGGCTCTCCCACACTTAAAGTTGCTCTGGCTGAGGAGGCCTTTAATTTGCCTTTTGGGCGACATGGATCACTTATTCATCATCGACTGATCTAATTAGCTCTGGTAATTTATACTCTTTTTCTTTCACAGGGAATGAATTCACGTCTCGCCTTTGCTATCCTGTCGTCTGCTTGCTGGTCAGCCTTCCAACACGGGTACAATACAGGAGTTTTGAATGCACCTCAAGCGGTGGGTAACTCTTATTTACTTACTTGCATCGCCTATAATATCATCATCAAGCCGTTGTGGGATCCAAGAAGTTATTCATGTCCCTGTGACGCTCCGGACTTTAGTGTTCCGGTGTTTTCATGGTTATATCTGCTGTAGATCCTGGTGCACAGGAGATGCAGTGATTTTGGGAGCTTGTCCCATAAACAAGCAGTGATAGTCCACTGTTCACCCCTCGAGCGTCCTTATGAGCACCCGGTAGATCATAAGAAAACATGTTCCATGCTGCTTTCTCTTTTATAAAATCTATTATTAATGTTTTGTTTTTATTTTGACTATATTTGTTTTATTTCTATTGTAATGATTCTTGTTTTCGTATGCCAATGGCCAAATAGTTTTAAATGCATTTTCTTTCTTTCTTTCACTAAGTGGTCCTGACGTCACATCAGGTTCACAACCATACGTGGCCTGCGACCGCTACAATCAGCGATCATTCATTATCTCGCGCGTCTGACACGATACCGAGCGCACATATCGGTTGAACCTTACAATCAGTACCTTTTTATGGGATACGCCGGTAAACGAACATAAACAGGATCATCTGTTGATAAGCAAGTGGCGTTGCCCATGGACACCCGGAACACCAGAGGCTTTACAAGCGCGTTATCAGCCTTCTGGGCATTAGGAATTTGAGGATGGTTGGGGAATCAGGGTTAGCTTTCACTATTTATGTTATGAGTCCCATGTAATAGGGGGTGAGCCTATTACTATATATCGGGCACATTTCCAGACTCTGTGCTACTACTGAGGTTTTTACAAACCCAGTAATACTTTGCCCGACCCGTTAATCGAACTTGAGACGCCTTGCCCGACCGTCGCATTCGGCCAATGAGGCAGCAAAAGCTGGTATTTAATGTTATCAATGTTTAATTACAGGTCATCGCAGAATGGTTACAAAAAGATGTTCTATCAGGCACAAACCTAACTCTCCGGGCCACTGACGACCCGAAGGTGATGACGGCTCTATCCATAGCAGTGGCTATATACTGCGTCGGTGGTATGATAGGAGGGATCATCACGGGGATTGTAGCTGATAGGTAAGATGATGATGATGATGTGAATTATTGTAAAACTAGCGACCCGCCCCGGCTTCGTATGGGTGCATTATGCATGTATTATCTAATATTACCTCTATTATGTATAAAGCCGAAGAGTTTGTTTTTTTGTTTGTTTGTTTGAACGCGCTAATCTCCATAACTACAAGTCTGATTTGACAAATTATTTTTGTGTTGGATAGCGCATTTATGGAGGATGGCTATGCGCTATAAAACATCACGCTACGACCAATAGGAGCTGAGCAGAGCGTGTGAAACCGTGCGAAAGTAGTTTACATATGAATTATAAACCTTACTTAAGAATCACTCTATCTATTAAAAACAACCGCATCAAAATCCGTTGCGTAGTTTTAAAGATCTAAGCATACATAGGGACAGACAGACGGCGGATAGCGACTTTGTTTTATACTATGTAGTGATTGTACCCAATTATTTAACCCCTCGAGCGTCCTTATGAGCACCCGATGGATCATAAGAAAAAATGCTCCATGCTGCTTTCTCTTTTATAAAATCTATTATTAATGTTTTTTTTATTGTGACTGTATTTGTTTTATTTCTATTGTAATGATCCTTGTTTTCGTGTGCCAATGGCCAAATAACTAAATGCATTTTCATTCTTTCTTTCTTTCTCCAAATGTCACGCGTGCACTCGTTGGATCATAAGGAACGCGGACGCTCGACGGGTTAAAGAAGCATACACTATTCTAGAACCCACATTCAGATAATAAAACAAGTAGAATACATAGCTTACTTATCATCATTTAAGTTACCTCCTTATCTCACCACATACTTCCACCTTTCTCATTTCATTACAGGCTTGGCAGACAAGGTGGTCTTCTCTGGAACAATCTCCTAGTGTTTGCAGCCGCCGTACTAGAGGGGACTTCGAAAGTCGCTAATTCTGCTGAGATGCTTATTTTGGGCAGGTGAGTGAATACAATTATTGTCGTTAATCAGTTCAGCAGAGGCAGCAGGTACTGTAAAGGTCAGTGGTGAACTGTAGAGTACTTTTAAGTGTGAAAGAGCCATGTATAGGCACGAATGGGCCGGCTCGATCAGAATGATACCATGGCCGAATAGAAAACCGCTGTAAAACTCCACAAGCAGGCCATGGATGTCCAATACGGTAGTTGACAACTACTCAAATTCAATACTTTTATCGAAACGTTAAAAACGATATTGTTCTATGAATTTTGTACGAAAAACTTAGGTAACTTATGACGTCATCATATTTTCAAGGTCAAATAGCAAACTTATTTCTGAAAAAGTTGCTTGAATAAATAATAACTCGACCCTGCAGTCAAACCATTGCAAGTGTTTTGTGGGGCTTAGATTATAAAATACTTACCTATGTGATATAAAGATAAATAAATAAATAATAAATAAATCAATAATTGAGTACATCGGTAAATAAAAGAATGAAATTATTTTTGAATATTTAATTGTAACTGCCTCGTTGGCCGAGTGAGCGCAAGTGCGACTGCTGGTCAAGAGGTCTCGGGTTCGATTCCCGGGTCGGGCAAAGTATTACTGGGTTTTTAAAAAAATCTCAATAGTAGCACGGAATCTGCAATTGTGCCCGGTATATGGCAATAGGCTCACCCCCTATTACACGGGACTCATAACATAAATAGTGAAAAGTGGGTGTTACATTGTACAGTGGCATAATGTGCACCTCTGCCTACCCCTTCGGGGATAAAAGGCGTGATGTTATGTGTGAATGATTTTGTACGAAAAACTTAACTAATGACGTCATCATATTATCGAGGTCAAATAGTAAACTTATTTCTGAAAAAGTTGCTAGAACAAATCGAAAATTCAGTGGAAATAATGTGAAATCAATGAATGAAAGTGTAATTATTTTTGAATATTTAATTGTAATAAAAAAACAAAATATATTTTTTTGACCCAGTAAACTACTCAATTATTTAATTTCCTTTTCTAAATAAATAGGTTTTTTAGGTCGTAACGGGCAGGTGCCCGTTAGTTAGATAGGTATCTAACCTCTGACTACCCCCTTTGCCGATGAATCAATGACTCATGAGAAGAAATCGACCTCATCGTTCGCTTGATAAAATTGTCGTGTAAAAGTGCTGCCTTGTAGCCTATTTGCAGAAATAAATTCACTTGTTTCACTTGTTTCAAATTAAGTTTAATAAACTCTAAAAATCCTCTACCTACGGTTACTCACGTCTGATTTAATTTTTTGTTTTTTTTATTCGTTACCCCTCTAGGATTTTCTTCTGTGTTGTGTGTGTATTTAAACATATAATTTTACATACACATGACACTCAGACCAGAAACAATAATTTGTGGATCTCGCAGAGAGTTGCTCCGTGCGGGAATAGGGTAGATGCCTGATTTTCATTTTAATATCCGTCTGGTAGATTATTTTAAATAATTAGACACGTATTTTTTATTTTCTTACATAAACGAATACTTTCAACGATATATTCATTTGAAATGTCGCGTGACGTCACTTCTATGTACATACTTACATTTTATACATAGAAATGACGTTTTAACCCCCACTCCTAAACTTTGATTCGTTTTATCTAAGTATTATTTTATTATACGACAAAATAAAAAAATACGTGTCTAATATTTTTTCATTACCTAACTTACGGACTAATTAGATTTTTAATTTTCATACTCTGTCATCAACCCTATTAAACCCGCTCCCGCTACACGTTATGCGGCTGTCGCGGAGAACCTAACGGGTAACCGGGGCTCCGGCTCGACGTGCAGGAGAAGGAACGGCGTGGTTTTTAGTCAGTAAGAGTCTGACACTCCCTCCCGCCTCACCCAGGCGGGAGCAGTCATTCGATGATTTTCCCGCCTTAAAAAAAAACACGTTATGCGGCAGCCGATTACCCAGCAAGAGCAGTCTTCATTTCATAGTAGTCACCTACTAACACTGTTATATTAAGAAACTCGATCTTCAGGTGTCTAATTACAAAAGAGTAAGTGCTGAACAAAGTACGTATTGTTTCAGGTTACTTATTGGAATTAACAGCGGACTCAACGCTGGCCTAGCGCCGCTGTACTTGGCTGAAATATCGCCTGTCTCGCTTCGGGGATCTGTAAGTAGTCTGTATATTATTGTAAAACTAACGACCTGGGCTTACTCTTGAATTAAATTCCGATCGATCGACATTGGTATTGTGAAATTTCATACTCTTGAGTTGCAACACTAGCGTCCATTGCATCCGTATTGCGTAAATATTGAATGAACTAAATGGTATTGAGTTTGGCTTTATATTCCGTACTCTGTATAGTTGTATAGTTTTGTTTTGTATAGTTCTTGTATCTCTTGTATAGTTTTGACATTGAATAATTATTGAGATTTTCAAGCGTAAGCACCCTGTCCCGGCTTCGCACAAGTGCAATATGCATGTATTATACACACAAACCTTCCTTAAGTATCACTCTATGCCGCGGAGAACCTAACGTGTTACTGGGACTCCGGCTCGACGTGCAGAAGAAGGAACGGGGTGGTTTTTAGTCAGTAAGAGTCTGACATTCCCTTCCGACTCACCCAGGCGGGAGCAGTCATTCAATGATTTTCCCCCCTTAAAAAAAAAAAATTAAAAAATTCGTATCAAAATCCGTTACGTAGTTTTAAAGATCTAAGCGTATATAGGGACAGACAGACGGCGGATACTGACTTTGTTTTATACTATGTAGTGAAGATAATTGTGTACTTACCAACTAGTCAAATTCAATACGTTTTTTTCGAACTGTCAAAAACGACAGTTTTCTATGAATTTTGTACGAGATTGTGTATTTTGTGACGTCACGATTTTTTAGCGTCAAACAGCATACTTATTTCGTAAAAATTTGCTGGAAAAATACTAAAATTAAGTTGGTCATAAAATCAATTAATGAAAGTGTGATTGTTTTTTAATATTTCATTGTATTGAACAGTCGAAATAATTTATTTTTGATTAAGGAAATTACTCAATTTCGAACTACAAAGGCATTAGTACTAGTATCTTTTACGTACCTAGATAAAGTAATTGAAACAAGTACCTACTCGTTGGGGCGGTCAGGAGGCTTACTCTTGAATCCAATTCCAATCGATCGACATTGGTATTGTGAAATTTCGTACTCTTGAGTTGCAACACTAACGCCTATTGCATCTGTATTGCGCGGATATTGAATGAACTAAATGGTATTGAGTTTGGCTTTACATTCCGTACTCTGAATGCTATTTTAACACGATAGAGGTTGTATAGTGTTGATATTAAATAAATATTGAGATTTTATTGGATTGAAATTGCAGTGACATTGAGATTGGTACTCGTTTCACCAACTTTAAAAGTAAAACAAATTCGTACTAAGGCCTCTGATAAGAGTTTATTTATCACCACCGTAATTCTTCCTGTGGGTGTACCATACCCGACGGAGAGACACATTTGACAGAAACCGAACTGCAAGCAGCTACAATATTTGATAAGCTTTTTCAAATGTGATCTTAGTTTTTTATTTTTTTAAAGTCGGTTAAAAAACGGGGTTTAGTCGAAACGGGCACAAGACACCCACAGGAAGAGAAGGGGTGGTGAAAATTGGACCCTATTCTACCCTACTCTAATTTCACCCCTATTACAAGGGACTCACAATATAAATAGTGAAAAGTGAGTGTTACATTGTACAGTGGCATTAAGTGCCGTAATGCACCTCTGCCTACCCTCTAATATAATATCTAATTTAACCCCTCTAATTTCAGATAGGAACAGTCTACCAGTTGGTCATAACGATCACCATCCTGCTGTCCCAAGTCCTAGGTTTGGAGTCTGTGCTGGGCACTCCTACGGGATGGCCATATCTCCTGGCTTTGACGGCCATACCAGCTGTTATTCAAGTGGTGACGTTGCCTATGTGTCCCGAATCTCCCAAGTATTTGTTGCTGAATAAAGGACAAGAGCTGCATGCGCAAAGGGGTGAGTAAGAATAAAATTGAGTCATCATCATCATCATCAGCCTGTATTCGTCCACTGCTGGACATAGGCCTCTCCTATTGTCGCGGAGAACCTAACGGGTTACCGGGGGTCCGGCTCGACGTGCAGGAGAAGGAACGGGGTGGTTTTTAATCAGTTAGAGTCTGACACTCCCTCCCGCCTCATCCAGGCGGGAGCAGTCATTCGATGATTTTCCCCTCTTAAAAAAAAGGCCTCTCCTATGGCACGCAATTGAGTACAATTACATATTACTAAAAAGTCCAATAATACTACCTGAATAGAGAATCGAAACCGGGATGTTATTCAGCAGTATACTACCTGGACAGAGAATCGAAACACCGGGATGTTACTTAACAGTATATGAGGTACCTATCCAAAAAGTGTGCAAAAAAATTTGAGATCAAATTGATCTAGTAAGACAATTAAAAGGTGAAATTGTAATGTAGATAATTATAAATTAAATAGACCAAATGTGGCTGTCGAGAGGTTAAAACCATAATATTGGGGTGGAATTGATCAAAAGAGGCGGTTAAAAGGTTGAATCTTCAAAATAATGAGTCCAAATATACTAAAAGATGGGACCAAACCGACCAAGGCCCAAGGTTGCTAAAAATTGACAAATGTAAGGTTTGGATGTCGCGTAGAACCTAACGGGTTACCGGGGCTCCGGCTCGACGTGCAGGAGAAGGAACGGGGTGGTGTTTAGTCAGTAAGAGTCTGACACTCCCTCCCGCCTCACCCGGGCGGGAGCAGTCATTCGATGATTTTCCCCTCTTAAAAAAAAGGCCTCTCCTATGGCACGCAATTGAGTACAATTACATATTACTAAAAAGTCCAATAATACTACCTGAATTGAGAGTCGAAACCGGGATGTTATTCAGCAGTATACTACCTGGACAGAGAATCGAAACCGGGATGTTACTTAACAGTATATGAGGTACCTATCCAAAAAGTGTGCAAAAAAAATTGAGATCAAATTGATCTAGTAAGACAATTAAAAGGTGAAATTGTAATGTAGATAATTAAAAATTAAATAGACCAAATGTGACTGTCAAGAGGTTAAAACAACAATATTATATTAGCAATAATAAACCAGATATCTCGGATTCGATTCCCGGGTCGGGCAAAGTATTACTGGGTTTCTTATAAAAATCTCAGTAGTAGCATGGAGTCTGGAATTGTGCCCGGTATATGGCAATAGGCTCACCCCCTATTACATGGGACTTATAAAATAAATAGTGAAAAGTGGGTGTTACATTGTAGGTACAGTGGCATTGAATGCCGTGCCTAATGTGCACCTCTGCCTACCCCTTCTGGAGATAACTGGCGTGATGTTATGTTGTCTAATTTTTTAACACTTGTCGTTTCAGCTCTAAACTGGCTGCGAGGTGATGTGGCGGTTCACGGAGAAATTGAAGAAATGCATCAGGTAGGTCCTACATAGCATTGTTTTTAAGATAGGTACCACTTAATCACCTAAGATCAATTTGTTATAATACACCTAATTTTGTAGTAGACTAATAATTTCATTCCGCCATAAAGGTCATCTGAGACACATACTTACCAAGTAACAAGCACGGCTCCAGCATCACGCTTTTTGCTATGGAAAAAATACAAAAAGGTTGTACGCGAGCTGTCGGCACGCAAGAGTCAAGATTAAAAAAAAAACATTTTTTTTTTCATTGCCCCACACTAGTATTTTCTCCTGTGTCGTGGGTGCGTTTACAAACATACAAGTTCACATACACAATGACACCCAGACCCGGAACAACAATTTGTGGACACAAAGTGTTTTTCCGTACGGGAATCGAACCCGCGACACGTTGCACGGCAGCCGGTTGCCCAGCCACCGCACCAACCGTGCAGTCAATTACAACTTTATTAGCTACTAGCTTTTACCCGCAGCTTCGCTCGCGTCACAAAAGGAAAAAAGTAGCCTGTGACGTTATAACATACCAATACACACAGCGCCATAGATGGCGCTGTGTATATTGTTTTCCCTGTACCAATACTTTTGTTTTCCCTCGGGAATATCACATTTTTTCCGTGATAAAAAGTATCCCATTATTTAATCCGGACTTTTAACTTTACGTCTGTAAAAATTCAAAGCAATCGGTTTAGTAACGGCGTGAAAGCGGAACAAACAAACAAACAAACTCACTTTCCGATATATAATATAAGTAAGGATACTATATTAATGTTGTCGCGGAGAACCCAACGGGTAACCGGGGCTCCGGCTCGACGTGCAGGAGAAGGAACGGGGTGGTTTTTAGTCAGTAAGAGTCTGACACTCCCTCCCGCCTCACCCAGGCGGGAGCAGTCATTCGACGATTTTCCTCATTTAAAAAAAAAACTATATTAACGTTATGAATGAAATATGACATACGACATACGATTTAAAGTTCATATTTAAATGACAAGCTAATTGCTGGGTTGGAGCCGTGCTTGTCAACCTTGATCTTCATCTGGAAATATCGATACGGGGTTTCAAACCCAAACCCCCTTAGGTATTCAACAAGGCAGTAACTCAGTAATAACATACATAACTTCACGCCTGTCTCCCATGGGGGTAGGCAGAGACTAGGGAACGCCAATCACTACGAATCCTACATACCTCTTTCGCTTCATCAACAGTCATCAATCTTTTCATGCATGCTCGTTGGTTAAGGGTACTGTTAAGGGGACTTTTAACTTAGTAATACATACATTAATGATCCAATAATACAACCCATGTTTTTTTAGGAAGCAGAAAAGAACAAAATAAGCAGAAAAGTAACACTACGAGAATTATTCGCTAATCGCCAGCTTCGCCAACCACTTATAATCGCAATGGTGATGATGATAGCGCAGCAGTTCTCGGGGATTAACGCCGTGATATTCTTCTCGACGGAGATCTTCACAAGGGTACAGTTAGGACAGACACAATCGCAGTATGCTACGCTTGGTAAGTTTGGTTTCATTCTCTTTTAACTCATATTTAACTACATTCATTATTTGTATTGTAACTTTCGTGAGACATCTATCTATCTATATCTATCTATCTATATCTATACATATAATAAAATTGTAGAAAAGTGCTGTCTGTACATTGAAAATGAAAATAAAAAAATAGCAAGGGTTATTGTTATGTCGATGTCGAACCCAAAAATGTAATTAACTTTTTTTTGTCTTTTTGTCTGTTTGTCTGTTCACGCTAATCTCAGAAACGGCTGATCCGAGTTGGATGCGGTTTTCACGAATATATTGTGGTATGCTTCAGTTATGCTTTAGTGTTTGTTTCATGTTAATCGGTTCATAAATAAAAAAGTTATGTTAAATTAAAGAATCACGTCATAGTATAAAGAACACAGTAGGTTATCTAAGGCCGCCCGCCGAGTTATTAGCCTACTCTTGCGTTGATCCCCAGGGTTGTCACTTTTACTTTTAGTTAATATTTTCGAACAAGCAGCACTTGATCTAAATTTATGAAATGAAAAGCATATTATGATTGAATATTTTATCAATTTATAAATTTAGTAAAAATAAAAAGCTTATAAAAAGATTATTAACTTCTTAAAATAAACTTTAGCTCTATACATAGTATTCAGAAAGTAAATTTGGGAATACATTTATATGGAAAAATGCGACTCGGCCACGCTCTTAACAAATCAGATAAACTGTGAAATAAACAATACAATACCACATTTTCTTATAATATTTAAGTATAGTAGGTAATTACATTTCTGGTTGAGTAGGAACTATGAAGAATGATAAGAGTAAGAATAAGTAAGTAGGTATCTCATCATCAAGTACCTACAAATTATATTATGCTAGAAAAAGTGACTAGCTTACCTTTCCTGTTCAATAGGTAATCTGAACAGAGACAGTTCTGGAATCGATTAATTATTAAGACACCCAAACACACAGCAATACGTTCTTCTACGATTATCAGACATTTTTTATTTCATTTAACAGTGCCGAAAAGTGATGCGCGCGCGAACCTCGTGCAGTGTTAGCCCTGCCTGGCGCACTGAGAAACGGGTCGAGATTTTGTTAAAGTGTGCGTGCGTCGACGCATAGATACTATGGCGCACACATATAAGCCGCGCGCGGAGCATTTGTATGAAGATAACCTACTTTGTTCTTTATACTATGATCACGTCGTGAGTATATATTATTTAAAAAAAAAAAAAACGCTGCTCATAGTCACTATTCCACGTGAATGAAGTCGCGGGCACAGCTAGTACTGAATAAATTATTATGTTTTCGGATTACTCACGTAGTAATTTGACGATGAACTCGACTAGTTTGAAGCCATGCTAGAGGCTCATATTCATGAGCAGCGTTTCGCGACCCGCGACGCTGCGATTGTCGCGCTGCTACTGGCTACTCGAGTCTTACATTCATTATTGTTCTATTGATATTTACATGCAAACAAGAGACTTTTATGCCGGAATACAGAAGTTACTCAATTTTAAGTCGTGCTCAAATATCGTGCCATCTCTGTCATTTTACTAAGAATTTGTGGAGATAGAACTATACTTAAGCGCGACTTAAAATTGAGTAGCGTTTCAGTATTCCGACATTAGTCGAATCTTTTTTAAACGTTGCACGAATATAAACATAACATCACGCCTTTTATCCCCTAAGGGGTAGGCAGAGGTGTACATTATGCCACTGTACAATGTAACACCCACTTTTCACTATTTATGTTAAGAGTCCCATGTAATAGGGGGTGAGCCTATTGCCATATACCTGTCACAATTCCAGACTCCGTGCTACTACTGAGATTTTTTTAAAAACCCATTAATATTTTGCACGACCCTGGAATCGAACTCGAGACCATTTGCCCGGCACTCGGCCAACGAGGCAGTCAGTATAAACGTTGCCCACACTATTATTTTCTCCTGTGTCGTGGGTGCGTTTACAAACATACAAGTTCACATACACATGACACCTAAACCCGGAACAACAATCTGTGGATCACACAAAGAGTTGTTCTGTGCGGCAATAGAAACCGCGACACGTTGCGCGGCAGCCGGTTGCCCAGCCACCGCGTCAAACGTGCATTTCAGTTGTTTTGGTCCATATTTTTTGCATGTACCATATCTATATGTCGCGGAGAACCTAACGGGTTACCGGGGCTCCGGCTCGACGTGCAGGAGAAGGAACGGGGTGGTTTTTAGTCAGTAAGAGTCTGACACTCCCTCCCGCCTCACCCAGGCGGGAGATGTCATACATTTTCCCCCATTTATAAAAAACATACCTATATACCCATATTTTATACTATTTAAATACAAGCGAGCAGTAGTTGTAGGCCTTTTAGTATCTTATTTGATTGGATTGTAATTTGTGCATGCGTATTATTATTTTGGTAAATTAATAATTATGTTTAAGGGTTTACTCGAGTAATGATAAGGGACTAGACTAGTTTCAAAAGCGACACGACTAGTTTCAAGCCAAACTAGACGCTCATATACTCTTGAAACTAGTCCAGTTCCTCTTAAAACTAGCGGAGTTCCTCTTGAAACTAGCCGAGTTCCTCTGTAAACTAGCTGAGTTCCTCTTAAAACTAGTTTAGTTCCTCGTCAAACACTAACGTGAATAAGCCGAAAAATTTAGCATGTGTCACGAAAGTTATAATATAAATATTTTGGTACCTTAAATCTTCTTATACCTATGCTTTTCGACCATCAAATATATATAAAATGACTAGCGGACCCGACAGACGTTGTCCTGCATATCCACTTGAATGTATAAACAAAAATTCATTCAAATTAGTTCAGCCGTTTAGTATAACTAACCTAAACATCGACTGCAGCGCTATCTGTCGGGCTGATTTGTGAATCTAAACCATTCCCAGATCCCCATGAACACACACAAAAAAATTCATTAAAACTCGGTCCAGTCGTTTGAGAGAAGTTCAGTGACATACACATTACACACTCACAGAAGAATTTGTATATAAAATGATGTATCTTTCTTCAGGTATGGGTGCAATGAACGTAGTGATGACAATCATCAGTCTACTCCTGGTGGAGATCGCGGGCCGTAAGACGTTGCTGCTGATCGGCTTTGGAGGCATGTTCCTCTGTTCTGTCGGTCTGTGCGTCGCGTATTTATATGTGAGTATTGTATGCACAGGGTGGAATGTTGTAATGCCACCTGAAGGGGAAGTACTCTTAATACTTAAGATTTTTATTAAAATTTATTTTTATTGCATACGCTGGTAAACGAGCAGACGGATCACCTGATGGTAAGCAATCTACGTCGCCCATGGACACCTGGAACACCAGAGGCGTTATAAGTCCGTTACCGGCCTTTTGGGGATTAGGAGTTTGAGGATCGTTGGGGATTCAGGGATTAGGGCGATTGGGGAAGGGGAGGGTAATTGGGCCTCCGGTAACCTCACTCACACGACGAAACACAACGCAAGCGTTGCTTCACGTCGGTTTTCTGCTCGGCCGTGGTATCACTCCGGTCGAGCCGGCCCATTCGCGCCAAAGCATGGCTCTCCCACACTTGTTTGTCGTTCAAAAGTGCCTTGCTGTTAGGCTATTCTGTAAGATGTTCATTCGAACTATCGAAATAAGCTCGATGTCATTCTCGCCCGTCATTGGTCGAGATTATTCTCACAACCAATGACATGGCGGACCGCGATGGAGCTCACTTCGATAGTTTGAATTGACATCTTACGAATTATCCTAACTGGTCTAATTGGACCACCACAGATGGGGCCCAGTAAGGCTAATACGCGATACGGAGCCGCGGAGGGCCTAACGGGTTACCAGGGCTTCGGCTCGAAGAGCAGGAGTAAAAACAGAGTGGTGTTTAGTCAGTAAGAGTCTGACACTCCCTCTCGCCTCACCCAGGCGGGAAAAGTCATTCGATGATTACCCCTCTCAAAAAATAAAAAAAACGTGGCTTAATTAGGTAGTTGCCAGAGTATCAAAATTAAAAATCTAGTTAGTATGTCAGTTAGATTATCAAAAAATATTATACACGTATTTTTTTTATTTTCTCGTATTAAGTTGCAATACTTAGATAAAATGGCGCTAAGTTTAGGTTGTTACGTCATAACGTGCTACAAAATGTAACACGTTGTGACGTCACACGATATTTCAAATTAATATATCGCCAAAAGTATTGAATTATGTGAGAAAAGAAAAAATACGTGTCTAAAGTTTTAAATTAATTTACCAGACGGACATTAAAATAAAATTTAGGAAACTACCCTATTGAAATAAATGATTATAACGTTTGACAAATTTTCTTCCAGTCCATGTTACCGTGGGTATCCTACGTATGCATAGCGCTGGTGATTCTCTTCGTGGTGATGTTCGCAGTCGGCCCTGGCTCCATACCCTGGTTCCTGGTCACTGGTGAGTAAATTTTAAACTGGCAACACACTTGTTACCCCTCTAGTGTTTATTTATTTATTTAGACTCCCAATAAAAGATATAGTTGCTAAAATATAATATATAATCCACCGGAAATTCGAGTAACTTTGTGATCCTTCGTTTAAAAAGAATCACATCATGCGAATACAAACATACACCAACTGGGATGATGACAGATGTTGGGTAATGAAAAAATATTAGACACGTATTTTTATACTTTGTCGTATAATAAAACAATACTTAGATAAAACGAATCAAAGTTTAGGAGTGGGGGCTAAAACGTCATTTCTACGTATAAAATGTACATAGAAGTGACGTCACGCGACATTTTAAATCAATATATCGTCGAAATTATTCGTTTCTGTAAGAAAATAAAAAATACGTGTCTAATGTTTAAATAATCTACCAGACGGACATTAAAATAAAAATTAGTCATCTACCCATTGTGTTCACAAGACACATTTTTTCTTAAAACAATTTTGAATATTTTTTGTTCGATAATGTTTGATGGGTCGACTTTTATTTATTTGTTTACTAGCTACCGGCCCCGGCTTCGCGCGGTAGCAATATATATTTATTATACATGCAAACCTTCCTTAAGAATCACTCTATCTATAAAAAATCCGCATCAAAATCCATTGCGTGGTTTCAAAGATCTAAGCATACATAGGGACAGGCAGACGGCGGATAGCGAGTTTGTTTTATACTATAATATAGTGATATCGTCCACAGAACTATTCAACCAGTCTTCGCGACCGGCAGCGACATCTGTGGCGGTGACTGTCAACTGGACAGCCAACTTCATCATTGGCCTAAGCTTTTTGCAGCTTTCTGTAAGATTATTTTTCATTTTATTTTACTTATTTAGTCTTTAAATACAAAACAAAATAGTACAGTGAGCTCAGTTCTTTAGTATGCAGGCCTTTAGCCAAACGCCACTTTAGCGCTTGTCTACAGAGAGAGTAGAAATCAAAATGTATGGGGATGACACTGACAAGTGTCAAAATTTACGTCACATAACATAACATCACGCCTTTTATCCCCGAATGGGTAGGCAGAGATGCACATTATGCCACTGTACAATGTAACACCCACTTTTCACTATTTATGTTATGACTTATGAGTCCCATGTAATAGGGGGTGAGCCTATTGCCATATACCGGGCACAATTCCAGACTCCGTGCTATTGCTAAGATTTTTTTTAAACCCAGTAATACTTTGCCCGACCCGGGAATCGAACCCGAGACCCCTTGCCCGGCAGTCGCACTTGCGATCACTCGGCCAACGAGGCAGTCAATCCCATATAATTTGGTTTTCTATTCTACATGTAGACAAGCGCTAAATGGCATTTGGCTACAGCTGCTGTAGTCTAAAATAAATGATTTTGACTTTGACTTACCAGAGATAATATTTTTACATATACGTTGTTTTTTTTTGTCCACAGGCAATCCTAGGAGCGAACGTGTTCATAATATTCGCAATTCTACAACTAGTATTCATATTCTTCATATACTGCCATGTGCCCGAAACGAAAAATAAGACGGTAGAAGAAATAACAGCGATGTTCCGACAACAAATATAATTTTCGAGCTCGCCCGAATCATTTCGAGGTGACCCGACCGTTTTCGAGGGACGGAAGTTGAAAATTGAAAATTTGTACATTATTCTTGTTGTGAGCAATTGATTGTAAGTTGATTGAATGGAAATAGTTTAAAGGCCTGTTTTACAATCTCTAGATATCCACTATGTACTTTTTTTTTTTTTAATGGGAGAAAATCATCGAATGACTGCTCCCGCCTGGGTGAGGCGGGAGGGAGTGTCAGACTCTTACTGACTAAAAACCGCCCCGTTCCTTCTCCTGCCCGTCGAGCCGGAGCCCCGGTTACGCGTTAGGTTCTCCGCGACATCCACTATGTACTAGATAAAGAAATGTAACATAACTACCTTCTGCCCGCGGCGTTGCCCGCGTTCCCGTGTAATACAAAGTAGCCTATGTGTTATTACAGACCATAATCTACCATTGTTCCAAATCTCATTCCTATCCCTACAGCCATTTTGACGTGATTAAGTAACAAACAAACAAACTTTAACTTATGTAAAACTAGCTTTTACCCGCGGCTTCGCTCGCGTCACAAAAGGATAAAAAGTAGCCTATGTGACATATACCATTACACACAGCGCCATCTATACCAATACTTTTGTTTTCCCTCGGGAATATCAAATTTTTCCGGGATAAAAGTACCCTATTATTTAATCCGGACTTCTAATTTTACGTCTGCAAAAATTCAAAGCAATCGGAATTCAAACAAACAAACAAACAAACTCACTTTCCAATTTATAATATTAGTAAGGGTTAGTAGGATCTGACGCGTTTTTTTACAATAACTATCGTGAGACACTAAATTAACTAAAACTCGCGGGTTACTCACGTGAATATACTGAGGAAAGCTTTTTTTATGGCATAAGCCGGTAAACGAGCAGACGGATCACCTGATGAAAGTAAGCAATCGTCGTCGCCCATGGACACCTGGAATACTAAGGCGTTACAAGTCCGTTGCTGGCCTTTTGGGGATTAGGAATTTGAGGATTGTGGAGGATTCGGTATTCGGGAGACTGGGGACGGGGTGGTAATTGGGCCTCCGATTACCTCACTCACAGGACGAAACACAACGCTGTGGTTGTTTCACTATGGTGTTCTGCTCGGCCGTGGTATCACTCCGGTCGAGCCGGCCCAGCAGTGCCGAAGCATGGCTCTCCCACATTTAGAATTCTTCTCTTTTTTTTAAGGGGGGAAAATCATCGAATGACTGCTCCCGCCTGGATGAGGCGGGAGGGAGTGTCAGACTCTTACTGACTAAAAACCACCCCGTTCCTTCTCCTGCACGTCGAGCCGGAGCCCCGGTAACCCGTTAAGTCTTCCCCAGCTCCGTATCGGCATTAGCCCTGTTGGGCTCCATCTGTGGTGGTCTGATGGCTCCTTGAGGCGAGCGCGGAAAGCATTCTTCTCTACTAGTTTTGAACCACAGAGGGGTTCTACCTTAGGAGCAGCGCGCGCAGTCGCAGCGATGTCTTCAGCCTACTACGATATAGTATACGATGTACCACGATGGCCCAGAAACCCTCTGTGGTTCGAAACTAGTAGAGCTTTTCTCAGTATATTCACGTGAGTAACCCACGATTTTTAGGATCTGACACATAAGAGTATCAGGTACTTCTATAAAGGTAGAGAAACAATTACTTAAATCATCTTGTTATTGTAACTATAGACTATTATTATTTGTCGCGGAGAACCTAACGGGTAACCGGGGCTCCGGCTCGACGTGCAGGAGTAGGAACGGGGTGGTTTTTAGTCAGTAAGAGTCTGACACCCCCTCTCGGCTCACCCAGCCGGGAGCAGTCATTCGATGATTTTACCCCTTAATAATAGACTTATTATTTATACATCACAATGCATAAATCATTATTTTATGTAGTTATCGAACAAATATGAATTAATATCGAGGCGAGTGGTCGCAAGTGCGACTGCCGAGCAAGGGGTCTCGGGTTCGATGCCCGTCTCTGGTAAAGTAATACTGGGTTTTAAAAAAAATCTCAGTAGTAGCACGAAGTCTGGAATAGGGTAGATGACTAATTTTTACTTAAATGTCCGTCTGGTAGATTATTTTAAATCATTACACACGTATTTTTTATTTCCTTACAGAAACGAATACTTTCGACGATATATTTATTTGAAATGTCGCGTGACGTCACTTCTATGTACGTTTTATACGTAGAAATGACGTTTTAGCTCCCACTCCTAAACTTTGATTCGTTTTATCTTAGTATTGTTTTATTATACGACAAAATAAAAAAATACGTGTCTAATATTTTTTCATTACCTAACCGACGGACTAAATAGGTTTTTAATTTTTATACCCTGGCATCATCCCTATTGTACCTGGTGTACCTACGTACGCCCAATGTTACGTATTAATGTACTTAAATAATTCATGTATAAGTAGGTATACTATATTATTTAATAAGAAAATCATGAATCTGAATTAAATATTAAAATATTTATTTTAAGATAATCTTTTTTTGTACCTACTATTATAAATATTGTTAAGAAAAAAATAAAAGAAATACTCAAATCATGGTATATATTTTGTTTTATTTCTTTTTCATTTTATCGAACCCTCTGTACCTTTAAATATATTCCTTTTCCAACAAAATGCCCTCATATAGGGCTCGTACACAAAACTGCGATGCGCCGTCGCATCGCAAATATGTGCGAGCTCCCTCTACGCATCGCAAGAACTTGCGAATTGATTCGCATCGCGCATCAAAATTTTATCTTTCCAAATTCTCATTTTTCCTGTATCTCCTAAGCAATAACAGAAGTGCACACTTCTTTTTACGATCCATGTCACGACCTAGTTTTCAATTTAAAATACGTTTAGTACGGTTGACGGTCGTCGAAGGAATGGTCACCCTGGGAGACGCCTTGTCGCACGAAATCGCATCGCAGCAATTCGCATCGTAATTTTTTGCGTTAAGAATTCACATCGCATCGCAGTTTTGTGTACGAGCCCTTAAAGGTAACTCAACTGCCTTTTGAAGGACATGCGTTACCAATTAATAAAATGCTTTTTTTTTAACACTTTCGATCTGCCATCAGCTATTCAGCCATAATCAGATGTGATGTCTTGCTTTAGTGTTTCGGGAGTCAGTCGTCCGTACGGGCAGGAGTAGGCGTTAGTGGTGTGTTCACGCGCGCCACTCGAGGTAGGAAATCGCAGCTTTTAAGGGCTGCTCCGTGGTGGGACCTGCCACAATTTAGTTGTAGGTAGGTCGAGGCCTGCAGGGTGCGATGAATCCGCAAGGGCGTCGCGGGTCACGGCCACAGGCAGAGGAGGAACACCGCGGTGGTTTTAGCCAGTAAGAGTCCGGTACACCACCCCGTCGTCCCCACGGCGTGGGAAGTCCATGAGGATTTCCATCGGGTTATAAAAAATAGATAAGTGTTTTAGGAGGTATTCCATTTAGTACTTCCTACCAACTTCAGAATTGTCCACCTTTATTTAGTGTTTTGTATCTAGATGCAGAATTTGCCATCGTTTCATCCCTGCTATTATCAACCAAGTCCCTGGCGAGCTGGTTTGTATGGTTCAGGAGTCTTCCTTTGTACGTAAAATGGGGTGAATAGGGATCGAGAGGTGAATAGAGACAGAAGAGGGGTGAATCGATACTATAAAGAATTTCCTTATATCTATTCATCCGTCTTCTGTCCCTTCTTGCCGCTCAAACCCTATTCACCCCATTTTACCGTACTTAGTTGCATAAGCATACTTAGTAAGTATCAAAAAATATTTATCAAGAAATGAAAAACAAAAACGCTAGTGGCTCCGTTTGTTTGCTTCCAAGTGTATACAGGGAGACTTGTAACTCGACGTATTCCTCTCAGGAGGTGATAATACAAGTAATTTCCTACACAATTAGCCCTGAGGTCTCTGGTCCGAAAGTGGCTAATATCTGAGATATTCAACATTTTCGGTTTTGGTGAAAAAAGTCAAAGTCAAAATCATTTATTTCAATTAGACCAGTAAGGCACTTTTGAACGTCAAAACAAAATATTTAAATATTAAATAATAAGAAAAAATGTCAGTCTGTAGGTCAGTCCTCTAGTGAAGCTATTTGCTCGTTCCAAAGTGTAGATTCCTATGGAGAAGAACGAGCAAGAAACTCCATAGGTTACTCTTTTTCAATCATGTTCACAATACAATTTTTGGTTACATTCTTCCGTTGAGTTCAATTATATACCAATATTTGGTCAAGGAGACGGAAAAAGAAAATAACCTTGAGGAAAAAGAAAAATCCCGATCGAACTACAAAAACATCAATAAATAAAAAAGTATTTGTTTGATTTAAGTGATTTAGTTTTAATTTTTTGTCAATACATCAATAAACATTTATTAATACTAATACTGGCAGAAATATCATTCGTTTTAAATTAGTTCATAGGGAAGGTCACTTTGAACAAAATTTTGAAAATAATTATGTTTTTGAAATTGCGCGTTTTCCTTTACACTTATAAATTATAAATAAATTCAGTTTTGAGAATTTTGTAAATAATTTAGTATTTTTGGGTAGCTAATAAACCAATAAAGATGTTCTAATAGTTAGTACGCTTAGTGTAATATCAATTTTTTAAGCTAAATGCTGTTTTCTATTGACCGAATTAGTGACTCAAAACAAAATTTTATACTAATTTACTTGTTATTTTAAAACGAATAATATTTCTGCCAGTATTAGTATTAGTAAATGTTTATTGATGTATTAGTACCTAAATGTTTAGTTTGTAAGTAGTTTCTTATTGAAAAAAAAATATTAATGGATTTTTTCACCAAAACCGAAAATTTTCAATCACTTTCGGACCAGAGACCTCGGGGCTAATTTTGTAGGAAATTAGTTGTATTATCACCTCCTGAGAGGAAAATGTCGAGTTACAAGTCAAGCTGTATATTACCCACGGCCTCGTGTACGGCCAAGAAAAAAGTAGCCTAAAAGTGTCAGAGAGCCATGCTTGGGCACTGCTGTGCCGGC